TAATGACATTAATCATATTCCCTTATAATATTCTCGTTGGTGTCTCGAATACAAAATATTGAACAGCATCCGGTATTGAAAGACATCAGTCCACTGCATTTATCTTCTAGTTATTAATAAATAATTCAAATTATTTATGAAAAGTGTACATTGACAGAATTCCACAATAGTGTATATATATGCACTGCTTATGAATGGGCATACCTTGTATGGCTTTATCATGCAAAATTTTTTTGACAATATCTCAGATTCAACATATTCAAGTGATCAGTTAATTGGGTAGTATGGTATATGATTATGAAATGTCTTTTGATGAATTGTTAATATAGAATGTATCTTGAGAAATAACCATGCTCTAAAATAAAATAACATCTATATTCTCTAACTGAGTCTAACGTAAGATGGGCTGTAATAATCACAGTACTTATTTCTAATGAAACCTTAAAAAGAATGGTTGACTTTGAAAAATCACTAGTCGTGAATGAGCTATGCAAAGTCCCCTAGCTATGAAAGACACCTGCTACCGCTACCTGGTTATTCAATCCCAGGACAACAAAGTTTGAGATTAAAGCGGTTAATTCTTTTATTTTACCTTTGAAGTAAAATGCCATATGGAGACAATCAGTTTCAGTTATTGGACACTCAATAATACAGAATTCTGTTGATAAATTGAAATATACTAGTTGGGTAAAAATAAATTGAAGTTATGTCTGATATTGTGATTATTCATAGTACCTTTGTGCAGTTTTTGATGAGGATTAAAGACGTAGCCAAAAATCAGGCAAAATGTAAATCTGAATTTGCTCATATTTGGATTATCAACATGATATCAGTTTATCCCTCTTATTCCCAGCAAACGCGGAAAGAAAAAGAAAATCCAGCTCAATCTGGATGAACAATAATCTGGCTTTTTTATAAACTTGGAGTTTCGCTGCTCGCTTACTCACATTGATCAGGGGAGCTTCTGGCGGAAATTTTATCTCGCCAGACGGATCTTCTTGAAACTTCGTACACAATTGTAGAACAGAAAAATAGACGGTTTTTATTTATGTAAATTTTTCGAAACAAATGAAAGAAAACGTGACATTCTTAGAAAACGGCCAAAAAAGGGGGTACTGTAGAAATCTATCTCAGCCTAGGATTTTTAAGCTACAACATCGAGACACATATCATTTGACGCGTAAATACCATATCTAAAAATCTGTGCAGGCGTTATTTGTAATTCTCATTTTTGTGGGTGTGGGTAAATTTCTCGAAAATTTTTCGATTTTACCTCCCGCCACCCATCCTTTTTTGCAAAATAAAGTCAAAACTATAACGAAATTATACAAACGCCTGAATAATTCTCTACATCTTTTCTTTGCGAATCGAATGGTATATCTCTCAATTCTGTAGCTTCAAAACTGTAGGAGGGGATAGTTTCCAAGTGACAATAAGTGCGATGTTCAGTAGAACGCGACAAAGCCCCGAGCGGTGGGAAGGATACCAGGCACGACGTTACTTGAGCTGAAATTCAGTCACAGATGGAGGTAACGACCGCATGAACACCTTCCCACATGACAGCTTCCAAGAAAACTGAAGTCAAGTGCCTCCTTAGTTGCTATAAAATAAAAATTTTGAATGAAATAATTGTGGCATTCTCTCACTGTTTTCCTTCAGAATTCAGCATGAAAATGTCTGGAGGCTTGAATTCATTAGTCTTCTGGAAACCCACTGAGCTACGGCTCTTCTCGTTGTATGCCGGAATTGCTGTACCTGAGGGCATAACAGCACAGCCATTTTATAGACATTTTGTAAATTTGTGTAGCTATGCGCATTCATCTCAGCAAAACCAACTTGAAAATATTAAAATGCTCAGCAACTTTTGAATTTTTGTTGAATCAGCGATCAAACTGTATGGCATGAGCTTCGTTTCATATAATGTTCATTATTTGCTTCATTTGGCTAATGGTTATGTAAAATGGAGTCCACTGGATAATATGCTTCTATCATGCTCTTGGTTCAGCGCCGGCCCAGCTCCTACACTGCTTCTAATTTTGACTGGGTAATAGATTGGCTATGTAGTGATAAACGTCATAAAAGAGTCTGGTGGCCTTCACAGAGTAATGTCACTGATTTGGCTAGAAATGAGACTCCTGTAGGAGACCAGTGGACGCTTCACGCATACCGGAACATAACCGTTACTTCAGGTAAATACATAAGATCATAATTTTCCATACTTCTGGTCTCACGAACAATGTTCCGAGCGAGCCGTTCCTGTAGTACGCTCTTTCGGGCAGTTAACTCGTATGGCGTAAAGAAGATAGACGGGGGTCTTCACTTTACTCGTAAACGTGTAAGCTGAAAATAAATTACTTATGAGACGCTGATACAAACAACTATGGAAATTACCAATGAAACACTAATACAAACTATCTATACGCAAGAACCAGAAACAACGTTAACACGCTTTTACAATGAACACTATTATGGAGAAAACAATAAGTGGAAAGATTTTTGGTTACTATAGCTTACTTAGACTTACATAGTTCGTATAGGAGTACCATAGACTGAAGGCACGGGACGCTTCAGCTGCCGCCGCGCGTTCGTCAGTTCAGAGGAAAAGCCCCCGTTCTCCTTCCGTCCTTCCGTGAAGACCACAACACTGCAAGAGGGGGTCAAGAGAAGACTACTCCAAGACGTCGGTCGACAAGGTGTGTGCCGAATTACATTAAAACCTACAATTTCTCACCTTCACAAAACTTCGTTTTGCATTATTAGTTTTTCGTGTTTCCACATTGTTCTATCAAGCTGGTTTTTTTATTCCATGTAGATGAGCGCAATGGGCGACAAAAAATGTTGCTCTTAAACTTATGTTATAATTTGATAGGAATTATCTTAGTGTCTTTGTTTTCGGCTAGGATCGCAAGCAAGGTGTATAATATTTTCATAATGCTACTTTTATCAACCTAGCGGAGTCTGATTCTGATGAAGAGATGGCAGGCAGCTTCAGATGGTGGACACCGCAGAGTTTGTCCCATCATGGTGAGCGACTGAATGCTGGGCAGCCTACCCTGCGATATATCCAAGTTTGTACCATAAATTTGCTGATTCCTCATTAACAAATTTTTTATAGAAGGTGCTCGATTTTATAGAATAGTTTCACTATTTTTGGAGGAGGATAAGATTGAAAATAATACAACAATATTCCGGAGAATTCATGATAGTCATTTTTCAGCTAGCGCCAAAGGAGACGAAAACGAGACCAATACGAGACCAACACGAAACTAATACGAGACCAAAACAAAACCAAAACGAAATGAAAACGAAGTTTCAATATTTTTTGAAGCGGATAAGATTACAAATAATGTAAAAATACTCAAGAGAATTATGATTATAATTTTTATCGCCAGCGCCAAACTCGATTTGTTGAGTTATGCACGTGTATCAGAGGATGAAGCTAGAAAGAACGAAGATATTGAAACAAGTTCATCGAGTCATTCTCTAAAACAAGGTGCTGCTGAAGGAAATTAAAAAGCAAAGGAATAAAGATATTCCTTCTATGTTGCCCCCTCCGTTAACGCCAATGTATCCGGCCAACTCTCACAAAGAATTACAAGAATTTATTCAAATGAGAACAAATGGTAAGTTAACGAACTAGAATTGGTTTCGTGCAAACACTTGATTTTCCTTTGGGCACTGGTTTTTCATGACGTTTTCAATTTATGACAAGCAATTGAACGTATATTACTGTAGTTCGTAAGCGCAGAAATGCTAGGATTTCTTATCTGGGTTATGATTTACGTGGTAGATTTTAAATTTTTTGAAATTCACAATATTTCGTCAGAAATGGGAATGCATAATCTAAATACCTTTCTGACTCCTATTTTTCAGTTTTTACTAGCGTCAATGATGGATGTGAAAATAGGGATCTTCATATTAGAAACCATACTATGGAAGAAACATGGTTAAATAGGTTTTCAATGTATTACGTTACTTGCTTCTCTAAGTTTTATGAGATAAAATGTGATGGAACATACTTTTATATTCAGATTGTAGCACTGCAGGCTGTCTCAGAGTGCAATTTGTCGAGGACAGTCATCACAATGATGAAGATGCTCATGACTCGAGCCATGGCCGTGGAGTTCTCCATGACAACCGCTCATCAATCTTATCCTAATATTATGTTTATTTATAAGTAGCTGAGTCATTTATTTGTTTTCATTCTGTTTAGACATAAAACAGCGTATATTTCTATGGCAACTGGCGTTATTTTTAATTATTCCATTAATATTGACAACATAAATTCATATTAATTTTTTGAGATGAATATTTTAAGATTTTAAATCAGTCGAACTCTTCAGTAGGTATATGAACTTTTTTCTAATACAACCACATATCAGCAAAGACTACCTCTTTCTCTATAAGTATATTTTAAAATTGAAAAGGGTTCATCTCTTTAAGAAAATTCTATTTATTTTACATCAAGAAAATTTAGTAATGGAGTGATATTTTTTCTCCGATTATGATGTTTCTAGAGGGGTCGACGTGACACAAATGGTTGCCAACTTCTGTGTTAAATGAAGCTCGTTGTGTTGATGTGAAGCTAAGTGAAGCTAAATGTGTTGTTAAATAACAATTAATGAGACTACAGATGCTGGGAAAGTTCTCGACTAAACTAATTACATAGAAAAATAATAACATACCATGTGGAGGAAACACATATCTTAAAATGCATTCACTACAAAAACAAACCCTGAATGTAGTGTAAATTGAGACTAAAGAGGATTGCCGTGCAACATAGATCAATCGTTCGATAACGAACAAACGATCGACTGACGTGAAATACAGAGAAAAAGTGAGAGCAAAAAGTTTGAACAAAGGTTACTGTTTCCAGCAGATTTTGTGACGTCATAGTTTCTGATGATGTATACTCACAAATAGCTTTCTTCGACTCAGTTCAACAAAATACGCGTATTAATTCAATGTGCTGTAAACGCAAAAGATTCCAGCGTAGGGACCTGTACTACTGCACACGAAGTCGTAGTACAAGGAGGTGTCGCCGCCTATGCCGATGCATCGCCCTGCGGCGCCGCTAGGGTTTCCAGGCAGCCAGGCGGAGATGGCCGTGCCTGGCACCAGGACTCCGGAGCTCCGAGTCACGTACGAGCCGTTGCTGGCACGTATCATGTCTACGAAGATGCCCCCCGCTTGCCGTATGGACAAACTCGCCCTGTCCTGAAATTGACAAAATGCAATCAGTTTTGCTATGTAGAGGAAATGGATTCAATTTATTGCTGAATATACAATTAATTTTAAAGTTGCAATGCAATTAATTACTTTTCGGATTTTGGTTTGTAATTTTCAGTTTTCAATCACCTTAGCTGTGACCTCTAGCAGCAGGGTGATATTTATCATTGTATCTCGTGATCTTGCCGTGGAGATGCGCTAATCAGCTGTAAACGCAAAAGATTCCAGCGTAGGGACCTGTACTACTGCACACGAAGTCGTAGTACAAGGAGGTGTCGCCGCCTATGCCGATGCATCGCCCTGCGGCGCCGCTAGGGTTTCCAGGCAGCCAGGCGGAGATGGCCGTGTCCGGCACCAGGACTCCGGAGCTCCGAGTCACGTACGAGCCGTTGCTGGCTCGTATCATGTCTACGAAGATGCCCCCCGCTTGCCGTATGGACAAACTCGCCCTGTCCTGAAATTGACAAAAATGTAATCAGTTTACGATGTAGAGGAAATGGATTCAATTTCTTGCTGTATATTCAAATTTGAAGTTGCAATTAATTAGGTTTTGGATTTTGGTTTATAATTTTTAGTTTTCAATCACCTTAGCTGTGACCTCGAGTAGCAGGGTGTTATTTATCATTGTATCTCATGATTTTGCCGTGGAGGTACGTCAATCGACAATCAACATTTCATATGTGATTGTTCAATTTTAGAGTAATTCATATCGTTATGTTTAATATTTTTCTGCGTCAAATTGTTCATTATATATTCATAATTCCCACTCTGATATTTCTAGTGTTATTTTTGTTCTTTTGCAGGAAAACCTCGATTTTTTGGACTTTAATATTGTTCATTAAATAATTGGAAGTGGATTCAAACGCACGGTTACGGTTAGGTTCTTACGGTTGGACCTGTTACTAGACTTACGGTGTTTGTGCTCCTATTTATTCTTCGTTATTTATGTATATATTTTATTAAACTGTTTAATCATTGAAAATTCTTGGTTTAGAAAAGCATCTGGTTGAAGAACGATCACATGCTTTTTGTCGGGGAAACGCTAGTTCGTTAATTGTTTGAAAAGTCCCCAACGTCATTTTATTTGGTACTCCAGGAAATTGGTGTCAATCCGTTCTACGAATAACCTCGATTACTGAAATTGTTGCTTCCCAAACAGACTGCTTCAAGGCGCAAAAATTCGTGTAAAATGCAAAAAAAAGGAGCAACTTCTTCTGCACCGTTTATCAGCGAGTTGCGCAGCAGACTGAACTAGCAGTAGATGAGTGCAAAATAGTTGTTTTTCTGTATAAAAGTTCTACGAGTGACGTCGATTCATGAGACACGATATCGCCAAAATTTTTCGACAAGTTTCAGGACGTTGACCACCTTGGTTCTACGTAATGTGTCAGAATTTGTTTTTATTTTAGCAAGTGGTCCAACAGTTGGTTGTATAATATAAGTTTATTTCTACAATCATAGAGGGTGAAGTATATCAGTTCATTAATTCTTACATACGAGACAGGTCGTATATTTACATCGTTCTTCAAGAACACAAATTGCGTTAATCGTCCGAGTCCGTAAAATTGATTGTCATGAAGTAATTCCTGTGTCAATGCCGATTCGACTTTTTTGTATAGCAACTGATTGTAAAAATTGAACCAGCCTCAATAGTTTTACCAATAAATTTCAAGATATTTATGCTGCGCAGAGGTCAGAATGTTTTTTTCATTGACTCAATCATCAATGTAATTCTATGTCCTTTCCTCATTAATGAAAATAATACAAAATTGGAGATGGTCCATTTTGATGTATCCGGTGATTAATCTCGGCCGGGATCGCCTTGTGAATAGTTCAGCCTGCTACGGTGTAGCGCGAGGCGATGAGGTACAAGATAGCGCGGTTGAGGATGGGGCGTGTGATGGTGGTGTAGGTAGGTGACAACAATATCTTCATTCGAGAAGCCCCAGCTAGTGCCAACCAGGACTTCTACAATGCGAAGATGGTCTATTGTCTTTTGTTTCCACCTTCCTGACGTAGGAAGAGACTTGCATGGAGGTACTAAAGAGCGTGATAGAGTACTTATTGGGCGACACGGTCAGTTTCTGGGCAATGAACCCGAGTTGCTAATCAGGATCCCAGCGGAATCCGCTTCCGCAGCTCTGTGCCTTGAGGAGGACACGAAGAGCGAGTTGTCATCTACGTACGAGACAATGTTGGAGGTCTGGTATGTCAGAGATTGAAGTGGTTGAAGAGAGCAGCGAAAATAACAGATCCTTTACAACCTCTTTTTTGAATGGCTCTGTAGGGTAATAGCGTTCTGAAGGAGAGACAAGGCGCCAGCCAGCCAGGAAGGCGGATTGAGGTGAAGAGCGGAAGCATCTAGGAACGTACGCCGATGCCACTATGCGCTGTGCAGGTTGCCACCGGCTTTCAGTCATGTTGCGCAAGTTCAGTGGCTAGGGAAGCCATAAGGTGCAGAAGTAGGCCCCCCTCCAAGATCTTGAATGCTGGGAAGAGTTGGGTGATGGGACGAGGTAACGTGTCTTGGTCACTGGGTTTTTTATGCTCGATGACTACATTGAGTTCTTCAAGATTGCTTGAATGGATGCAGTGGAAACGGATATTGAAGAGGTGGGTGAGGAACTGCAGGCAAGGGGGCCCAGATGGTTGAATTGGAGAACCGTGAGACATCCGGTACTAGGGCAAATGAGTTGCTGGCGGCGATAATGGCCAGCTTCACGACGTTGGAGGTAAAGGGTATACGACGGGACAAAATACGACGCTTATCCGATGAAGGTAAATGGGGACAAAATACGACGCCTATATAGTGGCTCAGAAAACAGGGGTTTTGGTGGAGAGGATAATGGACTAAATAGCATGAAATTGGCCCTTGATATCTTGCTCTGGGAGTGTGGAAGGAGAGATTTATTCTGGAGCGACATGTTCTGGGTTGCTACACCTGTCTACCAATCTATTTTGACAACACAACTTGTCCAAATTCGTCCAACACGTCTTGAGCCCAGATTTGTCGTCGTTTAGAGGACTCGCAATCGTACGTATAACCTAACTAGCAAAACTCCCTGATTTGATTCACCCTAGTTAATTTGGGTAAAAGCACCAAGCTACATTCTTGGGTGCAATGATTTCAGGACTTTTTTCTGTGATTCTCAATTGTTTTGAATTGTGCCAGGAATTTATCAAAATGCATTCTTTATGTTGAAATCTGCCTGTATATGATCGGTCAAATTCGACAAGTAGGCAGGATCATGAGTGTGGAGCCTATTCAATGGTGTGCCCCAGTGAAGGTCCTAATCAGAGACATTTTAAATAGGGAGCCTATAAGAGGCGTAATTAAAGGAGGAGCCAAATCAGAACGCACCAATTCAGTGGCCGCTGGAGAGGGTTTGTCATCCGTCATCGACAATGTTATACACACTGCGGAGTTCGGCAAAAACAATAGTCTTTGATAGCCATCAAAAATGTACAACTTTTACGTGTGAGGAATTGTCTTAAAATAAACGAAATGAACTTAAATTTTTTAACCGAAACCTAACACAGACTACAGCTAAGGAGTATCAAAGCAAACTAGCTCTTGCGAAAATGCATATTGACTTATAACTGAAGTTACTTTATATGAAGAATATTTCCTGCACAAACGATGCAATTTAATTTTTTCAGAACATTCCGGACTTCCATCACAAAAGACATTCAAATTATTTTGACACAAAGCCTGACTAAGTGGACTCACTTTCAAGGTGACGGGGTTTGGCAACAGATCCAGGCCGTTCTTCCGACAGGTGTCCAGTGCGCCTCTACAAATAAAGTTAATTATTAGTATATTATGCAAATTAATATTCTTAAATTTGAATCACGATTAATGTTCTTTGACCACCATCACGGGAATAATTTGAGGTCCGTCCTAGCTATTGATTCACTCTCCTAGCTAAGTCGAAGTTTATATAGACTACCAACCGGACGTCAGCTGACGTGATAACATCGAATGGATGATATTTTTTAGATCAATTTCAGCCTAAACATTGTTCGATGTTTTTTCTGAAATACTACAACATTGAAGACAAACCAAAAGACAAAAACAAAAGTGAAAGGTCGTGGAAATGAAACTATTTACTTTCAATATTGAAAAAATTTTAAAATTTATCTACTTACGTTTCGATGATGAGTATCTTTGAAATGTATCCACCTACGTCAGATTATGAAGATCTTTTAAATTAACTCGCGTTAGATGTTTATAGGTCTACTAAAAGTATTTCACTTCAGTATGCCCCTGAATTTGCAATCATGTCTATTTGTAGAAAAAAATTAGCACGAACTTACAGAGGCCATAATAAAAATGTGTTCGTTGGTTAAGGAGTTCATCAAGAGTTGAATGAAGGACGAACGTCTGGCTTCTCTCGAGTTGGATATTCAGACTTATAACGCACCAATGTATTGGCGCCCTGCGCTCGACTGTTTGGTCGGGCATTCGGCTGATCATTTTTTTCATTTCGTGAAAACTGAACATATCGTATTAATAGCCTCATGTTTTCAATTCACTCGGAAAGCGATAGCTAAAAATCCATCCAACTATACTTACATTTAGCTCAAATGTAGGCAGATATTCTGATGTAGCGTATACTAAAAAGTCAACTATCTTAATATCAACTGCACTCACGTGGGACTGGTGCCACCTAGCGGTGGAGGTAATTCGTACAGGTGGTAGTTCGTCCCGTACCGGTTGAGTCTAAACACGTTCTTCATCACGCCCTTCATGGCGCCAGGCACCGAAGCTTCCACCACCAGGCGACACTGTGGTAGCAATAGGGATATAATAGATGAGAGCCATCCGGATTCTTGCCTGAGTGATGAGTGCAAAGAATCGCGCCAATCCTTCATCTTTAGTGTTGGGCCTGATATGCAACATTATCGGCACTCCATGGCTTAGATATTGATTCTGTTATTTAACGCCATGTACTCTCCCTAAACCTCCGGGATAAGCAGCCTCTTAGAAGTGCGTGTTACTAAGAAAGTGCGAGTCATTTTCCATGCCTATACTTCTAACACTATTGTATGACGACTGCATCACAACCATACATCTGTGTTTTTGCTTTCTCTACTCCCTTATCACCCCCCGAAACCGACGGCATGCAATGTCTTAGAGGGCTAGGGGAACTCTTCTTCACGATCTTCTACCTTCATCCCCATCGTGTTATCTGTATCCAGCATCAGCCCTCAAACAAACCCAACCAAGTCAACCTAAAGTAGTAGTAAACTCTTCTTCACGATCTTCTACCTTCATCTCCATCGTGTTATCTGTATCCAGCATCAGCCCTCAAACAAACCCAACCAAGTCAACCTAAAGTAGTGGTAGTAGTAGAATGGTTTGCTAGCGCTTCAGCTATCAAGCTATTTCGTACAGGAGGTCAAAATGTAACATCGCCAGCGAGGCGGAAGGTCTCACTTATTCAATATCTCAAATTAATCATCACCCTCAGGGGGCGGAAGATCTCAATTGTCCAGCCCGCTGTAGCTGGCACGAAGGAAACAGCGTTAGCATCTCAAGGAGACGAAGTGACAAGAAGGGACAGGTGAAAAGCATCAGAAACGAAGACACTCGAACAAGAGGTTGCTTGCACATGACGTCGGCCGCCCGCACGAGAGAGACAAAGAAGGGAAATATGAGGAATCCTACCTACATAATAACTCAATGTAAAAGTATCCTACCTACATCATAACTTAATGTAAGGAATCCTGCCTACATAATAACTTAACCCCACAACTGAGGCCTTCAGTCAGACACCGAGAGCTCAGCGGTGGGGCGCTCAGGAACAATCCCCCTAGGAGCGCGAAATCCCATAGGACTTCTGACTAGCACAGACTCACGTCAGAAGTCCCCCCTGAGGGGAAGTCAACTTGACCGCTCGAGACCTAACACATATGTATTAATAATGTATATAATCCATTTGAAGAAAATCGACCCAAGCCCAAGATTTCCTATTGCCGATCAGCAATATTTCCGACTAATATCCGTGACCGCAATGCTCCACTTAATAGACATACTGATACCGCTCCACTTATTAGACATACTGATACCGCTTTAGATATGCTGATTGCACTTGTCCAATCATCAAGCATTCTTATCACACAGTTCTTCAGTACGATTATCCCAAGTTTAAACTTTCGTCGATACAAATTTACTGTGGAGATTGAAACGAACAATAGTTTGTCGTTTCTCAGTCGTAAAGTAACTGAATTCGAAGTTAACTTTCTAACTTCCGTGAATCACCAACAGATTCACACCCGACTGGGCTCGCGCTTCTTTAGCTTTTTTTAGTTCAGTTTCAAATTGGGTAGTCGTCAAACATAAATACATAGTGGCTACAGATTTGTTCCACCTCCCATGATATTCATTCTAAATTTGAAAACATTCGCAATATATTGCAACGAAATGAACTTGGATGATTTTCCTTCGAACTTAGTTTTAGCTGAAATAAGGTTCTTGGTTAAACGATTTTCAGACACTGTTACCGAGGTTGATAGTAGGAAAACTATCGATATTAAACTTCCCTTACATTACAAGTTCTCTGTCACTTTTGCCTCAAAATATTCAGCCGCGGTCAGGTGCTAGTTGAGGCGCATGCCGGGGGCTAGCATCTCCCAACTTTACACTTTGGTTAATATTCTTTTCCATGGATAAGATTGATGTAGGGCATCGCAGCTTATAAGTCAAGTGCTCAAAGCCATTGGGCGATTTTGGGCTGTATGTCCTCAGCCACTGCTTAAGCATGTCATGGTCATACTGCATCTGACCTAACCAAATCCAGCTTAACTTCCTCTGGCCTAACCAACTCACGTTGCTACATTTCTCCACCCCAACAAACCCCCATTTAACCTAACCTAATTGTCAGCAGGAAATTAGAGCGACGAGAAAACTGAGCAGGTAAATCGAGTCAGTGACTGCAAGAAGGTTATGACTTGAGGAAGCGTAAATAGGTTAGGCCAGAAGAGGGTAAGCCGGGAGTAGGTGAGGCAGAATGCGTAACTGCCTGCTAATGCGAGACGCTCCGTTATCGGACATGCTTGAATGCTGGCTGATGGTGCTTGAGTGCTGGCTGATTTTAAATCAATGTTTCCCTAGTCTGGATTGCGGTGCTTCAGCGTAATCTGCGGATGCTAGCTCAGTGGCTGAGTGCAGTTATTGCATGCTGAGGTAGGGAGTAAGTTATAGCAGGGCTCATCTAAAATTTGAAATCAGGATTAAATTAAATAACTTATTTAATTCGTTATATTCCACTGCAGTGCCCCCCGCTAGTTAGCCTTTGCGCATTTGCTCTAGTCTAGTGGTAGTATCTTGCAGCAGTGAAGCCCTATCCACGCTTCTCCGGCTCCGACTGGCTCAACAGCTCTGAGGTGGCTCTAGAAGTTGAGTTAGAAGTTGGGTTTGACCGTTAGTCGACGACGATTAAAAAATCCCCGGAATATCAGTTACTCCGCGTTGACAGGAAATGGCTACATTTTCATCGGGGATTAGCAACATTTACACCTGGTTTAGACAGACAAAATCTATTTGAATGAAACAAATGCAATCCTATGGAAATTAAAAGTCTCGGCTTACATGCCTCTTGACCTCACTATAAGAAAAGCCGGTCGGACTCGGATCCGCGAGATTGGTATGTACTATCTCAACATGTATACAACTGAACTGGCTTAACCACCAAGAAAGCTGATTAGAAAACTTTCCCCTACTTTGCGATGAACAAATGACTGTCGTCCAGAAGTTATAACTTGCATCAACTTCACTAAAGAAACGGCCTCAAATTTTGAGTCGCACGTTGATTAACATAATCAGTCAACCAAGAAAAACATTGTCGTCTTGTATTTCTCACCGAAGAAGAGTTCCATTGGAATCCTCCACAGGCATAGTGTTGACTGCAACGAGCCGCGCACGCCACCTGCGACGCCACACCCGCCTCTTGTACAGTCCAGACCGGGTAAATCAGTTTGGCCACTAGTCCGAAGAGGGCCAGTCCACCGGCCGACATCTTGATCTTCTCCGTGCACTAGACCCCCGCAGTTCTTCTCATGAGGTATCTGGGTGTTACAGTTGAAATCATATTTTGTTTCATTTACAAAATAATCATATTTTGTTTCATTTACAACGATAGAAATGTTATTACTTGATATTAGTATCTGGCATAAACTTGATTGGAATGTAACTAATTCCCTGCCTTTGTAGGTTTTTGGTGATGGAGCAAATATTCACTATTTAAGGTGATTTCGTTGAAGACCAGAGAATTCGTTTTATTTGCAATAAATCGAATTCTCTGGTCTTCAACGAAACCTGCTTAAAGGAACAACTTTTGCCAACCTATAATAATATTTAAGGTGACAGTACATGGGGAAATTTATAGTCGCTAGTAATTTTCGGGCTACTTGCCTCATATGGAGGTTGAATGAAGGCAGCTTAGGTATAAATTACAGAATAACCATTCGCATGCACCTAACTTTGTGCACATTTTCATTACATTTTAAGTTTTGAACTCTGTTGCATTTTTTTAGCCTCGTCGTTCATTGGTATAACATTCTTCATAGACGGTTGAACATCAAGTTTTTTATTTGTTTCCAAATAATACTTAATAAACATCAGTGATCGAACATTTCTACGTTACAGAAGGTTATAATATTATTATTAATACTATCATTATTATTACTATTATAATTATTATTATTTTATTATTGTAGTATATGGAAAATGAGCTAACGAGTTCATAATTTCTACTTCCATTAATTAATAATAAAATCAGTGCCTTGTTCCTAAACTTACTTGCCGTTAAAGCGATAAGTAGCCGTCAATACTAGCTGCCACAACTTGCTCAAATGCCGTCAGCAGATGTAGCATTCAATGTGTCTGAAAATAAATGCAAATAGAACACTTCCTATTGATCATTTATCCAAGATCGACGGTTGATAAAATGGGATTTCAACATAAACATGTTTCTATTATTCTGCATTCAAAAGAAATTGGACGCGATTAACACAAATAATCTCGATAATAACGATAGTAGTACAGAGAACGAGCTTATCAGCACAGTTTAGTTAATTGGGTTAATCCCCGTCAGTTACTTCTAATACAATTGCAGCGAAACCCGAGCATCCATTTGCACTCGCAATATTTTTAACCGTCACCTTACTGGCAATTGAAACCCAGGACTCAACCTATTTAGAGCAGCACGTTGCTCCAATCAATCACCGACACTCGTTGGTGAATGAAGTTCTTTTTTTCATATTAATCATTGGATGAAGTGCTTCAATAATTCATATTCGGGTTATATGCTAGGTTGACTTGCTATAAAGAAAAAGTTTGTGAAATCCATGAAGTTCTTTAATGGCAACTTCAAGTAGGAACGACGTTTTTCATAGTTTTAACATCTAAGTATAAGACCCCTCAAAATTGGAGAAGGAAATGCAAAATGATTATTCTATTCATTTTTATTGCCGTTTTCCCACTTATAGAGCATTTCTTAGTTTAATTTCTTAAGTACTTTACACAGTTTTATTGCTCTTAAATTATTTCCAGATTAATTTCGGTGGATGATAGTGAATATCATATTAGACATTTTTGACAATTAATGTATCCGGAACTTAATTAATATCACCTCTTTTTCTACATTTGTTATTGGGTCTTTCATTTTTATAAATCTTTACAAACATTTTTTCTCGTTTTTACAAACATCATAAGCTGCCTTGATACAAGAATCGACTTTTGAAAATAATTTTCTCTGTGTTTTAATCAGAATTGCCACCCATAAATAATATCGAACGATGGTTCAATTCTGGCTTAATAATAACGTCTGCTGATATATAAGTATTTTATCGTCGCCATACAGTGTCATCTAACTTATCTCATTTGTATCTGTCTCTTATACACATCTAGATGTGTATAAGAGACAGCATGAGGGCCTCGAGAGACAGCGACTGATGCTACGAATTCGCCGCAGGATGCCAAAACAGGCAGCGGTTACTTTGGCAATGTGGTTGTTCATAGATAGTTCTGAGTCTAGCTGAATGCNGTATTGTTGAATGCTGCCGTTGTCATGGGTTTCTTTGCGCCGCATTGTCGCGGCATTGTTCAGGGCGTATCAACTACATTAGTCTTTTCTGATATTCCCGAAATATTAAAAATATTCCGAAAAATTGTTTATGCAAAGCTCGGTATCGACAGAAATTACATGTCACTCTAAATGTGCTCGTTGCGTTTGTGAATTAATAAATTAATTAACAATCAAGATTTTAATTACTTACATGGTTTTGTTGGGCAGCTTTGGATTATTTTTAAGCGTTTCGTGTAAGCCTGAATCCCATGTGTTATATGGAAGCTTGACAATGTTATAGCATGCATGAATGATGAAGCGAAATCGCATGTAGGACTGCGAGAACGAAACTACAATTATGAATGGGGGAGCGTCATTTCGTGTATGAATGAAGGTAGAAATTGCTTGTATGAATGAGGGAATGAAATCGCATGTATGAATGAAAGAAAAAATCGTATGTATGTAAAAATTAATACTTCCAATTCCCGACTTTTTTCAAATATCATTAAAATAATTAATAAATCATATTATTAACAGTAATAATAAACAATGAAAATTATTTGTAACATATATGAACCCACTCCCGAATTAGATTCGTTGAAATGTGTTCTATAGTTTAGAAGAAATTTCTTGGTCGTCGCGAATTTAAGTGACAAATTACCCTGCGATACGGACCGAATATAAGGAAGTGTGAAATCAAGAATGACGGTGAAATGAAAAATGAATGACGGTGAAAGCTTAAAAATTACCGTTTGGTAGTTAGGCATGTATATTCAAAATTTCGTTCAAATCTGTTCAATATTTTGGAGGAAATTCTTTGAACACTGCGAATTTCGGCCTGTTTTCCAATATACGCGTAACTCACGAATGAAGGTGAAATTAAAAAATAATTACGAGCTAACCATCACCGTTAGGTTCTGGTGAATACAGGTTCCAGGCTTCATAGGGCTGCGTTCATTAGTTTAGGAGATATTACTTGATAATTGAATTTGGAGATTGGTAGTGAGACCGGCCACGATTCCGGCAGTAAATTCGCCCGAGACATCCTAGGTTTCTAGTGCTGAAACAGTTAAAACAGCTGAAAAACATTGGTTCACTAAATGTGGTTCCATTTGTGAAATACACATTTGTGTTTAACCTTTCTGTTTTAAAATTGCAGCGTACTAAATTTCAAGAAAGCGGCGTGGGGCGCTAGAAATTCACTAGGGAGCCAAAGGGGGCGCCAGCCAGAAAAAGTTTGGGAACCACTGGGTTAGGTTAATTGCAATAAAGTTGCATTGATATGTTTTTGAAATGTGTTATTATGATTAAATGTTTATGAGTAAATCCCAATAGTAGTACAATAAATATTAGAGATTTCCAATAATTTTGGCCATTGTAGCGGCGCTACATTTTACTGTAGCGGTAGCGATAGCGCCCGCTACAATCTAGTGGGTGTAGCGGTAGCGCCCGCTACATTTAGAGCATGTAGCGGTAGCGCCGCTACATTTCAAAGTAGCGCTGCCCAGCTCTGGATGTAGGCCTGTAGGGCATAGCAGCTTATAAGTTAAGTGCTCAAAGCAATTGGGCCGTATGTCCACAGCCACTGCTTCAGCATGTCATGGTCATACTGCATCTGACCTAACCTAATCCAGCTTAACTCCCTCTGGCCTAACCAACTCGCGATGCTACATTTCTCCACCCCAAAAAACCTCCATTAAACCTAACCTCATTGTCAGCAGGAAATTAGAGCGTCGAGAAAAGTAAGCAGGTAAAGCCAGTCATTGACTGCAAGAAAGTTGTGAGTTGAGAAAGCGTAAATAGGTTAGGCCAGAAGAGGTTAAGCCTGAGTAGGTAAGGCAGAATGTTTTACTGCCTGCTTATGCGAGACCGCTCGCTTATCGGATATGCTTGTGTGCTTGTTGATGACCTACGGTGCTCTACTTTTTAATCAATGCTTCACTAGTCTGGATTGCGGTGTTTCTGCGTAATCTGCGGAGGCTAGCTCAGTGGCTGAGTTTAGTTACTGCATGCTGAGGTAGGGAGTGGGTTACAGCTGGGCTCATCTAAAAGTTGAATTCGTGATTAAATTAGACAATTTATTTAGTTCGTTTTATTCCACGGCAGCGCCCCCCGCAAGTTAGCAGCGAAGCCCTATCCAAGCTTCTCCGGCTCCGATTGGCTCAACAGCTAGGTGGCTCTGGCAGTGGAGTTAGAAGTTGGGTTTGACCGTTAGTCGACGACGATAAAAAAATCCCCGGAATCAAAAGTTACTATGCTGTGACAGGAAATGGCTACATTTTCATCGGGGATTAGCAACATTTACACCTGGTTTAGGCAGACAAAATCTATTTGAATGAAACAAATGCAATCCTATGGAAATTAAAAGTCTCGGCTTACATGCCTCTTGACCTCACTATAAGAAAAGCCGGTCGGACTCGGATCCGCGAGATTGGTATGTACTATCTCAACATGTATACAACTGAACTGGCTTAACCACCAAGAAAGCTGATTAGAAAACTTTCCCCTACTTTGCGATGAACAAATGACTGTCGTCCAGAAGTTATAACTTGCATCAACTTCACTAAAGAAACGGCCTCAAATTTTGAGTCGCACGTTGATTAACATAATCAGTCAACCAAGAAAAACATTGTCGTCTTGTATTTCTCACCGAAGAAGAGTTCCATTGGAATCCTCCACAGGCATAGTGTTGACTGCAACGAGCCGCGCACGCCACCTGCGACGCCACACCCGCCTCTTGNGAGCATCCATTTGCACTCGCAATATTTTTAACCGTCACCTTACTGGCAATTAAAACCCATGACTCAACCTATTTAGAGCAGCACGTTGCTCCAATCAATCACCAACGCTTTTTGCAGGATGAAGTGCTTCAACAATTTATATTCAGGTTATATGCTGCGTTGACTTGCTATAAAGAAAAAGATTGTGAAATCAATAAGGTTCTCAAAGGGCAACTTACGGGGGAACCCTTACTGTGTAAGGGTTCTCTTACACAGTAAGAACTGCAAGTTTATTCTTCCATTTTACCGACTACTTTTTTTTATTCAGCTGAATCTAGTCAATGATCTTTAAGGCAATTCGATTTGTCAAACAAGTCTTGATTATCTCTCATTTCTGGAAGAAAAATATCGATATTAATATTAATCGCTGACTTGCAAATATCTCCCATCCCATTGAGAAAAATTATGCAACATCTTGAATTTATATGGACAAAAACGTTGCATATGTTTTAGGTGTACGGGGATAGATCATTTACAGAGCATGATATATTTTACAGTAATCATAAAAACACGAAAGAAATACTTTTGAACCAAATTTCCAAGGATTTCCAAAGTAATTATATTGTTAGCATGAATCACTGTGAAATTAGTAAGAAAAATTGTTAAAAACTATAATGAATATCATACTTATTGTCATAGAAACTCGAAACCAATGTAATGCAATTACTAATTCCATCATATACATTAATTAAAAAAAAAAATGTGTCAAATGCGATGATGAGATGCAAAATCCCTGAGCGCTGGAATATCCATAAAACATTTCAATAACATCAAATTTTCAAGTTTTTTTCTTCTATTTCGACCTTTTTGATTTGGAAGAATTAGTAAATGAAAAATTTAAAACTTCATTATTAAAGATCCATAGTCACCAGTCAAAAATTTATGATAATATAACTTATGTCAAAGTTGATCATAAATTAATAGGTTTTGAGTCGAACTAAACTTCAATTAATAGAGAAAACTTTAATAATATAACGGAAACAATCCTGAAGTTTCGAGCGGAACATTTTGCACTGATTT